GAATCTCGGGGCTCAGGGCAGGGTCTCCCTTCCCCTTTCCTGCCTTTTCCATCCCCACATTCCATAAAAATCCCTCTGAGTGGATTCTGAATGTCCATCATGGAATCCTGGAATGGTTTGGATAGGAAGGGGCATTAAATCCCATCCTGTTCCATGTTCAGGGACACCTCCTGCTATCCCAGGTTGCTCCAACCCGGCCTTGGACACTCCCAGGGATCCAGGGGCAGCCACAGCTTCCCTGAGAATTCCAGCCCAGCCCCTCCTCCCGGGGAAGGACGATCCCAATATCCCAATTCCCGACCTTTCCCTGCTCTCCCCCAGGGCCAGACCGTGGACGACATTCCCAAGGAGGTGTTGATAGACTGTGCCCACCTGGTGAAGGCCAACAGCATCCAAGGTAATCCTGATTCCTGGGAAATGCCTGGGAAAGGGGGTCTGTTTCCCCACTTGGATCCCGGATCCAATTCCTGGGGCGTTTCCCCGTTAATCCCGTGGGATTTAGGGAAGCAGGTGTCGCTTGGAATTCCTGGTAAAGAGGGATTTTAAATCCCTGACGTTCCCATGAGCCAGGGAGGCCTTGGAACCTCTTCCCTCCCGTATCCCTGGAGCCTCCTTCCGTGGGCTCAATCCTTGGAAAAGCCCTTTTCCATGGGGAGATCCCGGGATTCTCCCAGGGAAGGACTTTTCCCTCTTCCTCCTCTTCCCTGCCCTGCTGGGAGTGTCTGGGACAGGGAGAAATTCCAGCAGGGATGTTTGGGACAGGGAGAAATTCCAGCAGGGAATTCTGGGACAGGGAGAAATTCCAGCAGGGATGTTTGGGACAGGGAGAAATTCCATCAGGGATTTTTGGGACAGGGAGAAATTCCATCAGGGATGTTTGGGACAGGGAAGGAGAAATTCCATCAGGGATTTCTGGGACAGGGAAGGAGAAATTCCAGCAGGGAATTCTGGGACAGGGAGAAATTCCATCAGGGATGTTTGGGACAGGGAGGGAGAAATTCCAGCCGGGATTTCTGGGAGAGGGGGAAATTCCAGGAATGTTTTCCTGCTTCCCAGGGTGCAAGATGAACAACGTGAGCGTGGTTTACACCCCCTGGACAAACCTGAAGAAGACGTCGGACATGGACGTGGGACAGATCGGATTCCACAGGCAGAAGGATGTGAGTGCTGGATCATTCCTGGATCATTCCTGGAAAATAGGTTGTTATCCAGCCCTGGGAGTGTCCAAGGCCAGGTTGGAGCCACCTGGGATAGCGGGAGGTGTCCCTGATCCAGGGGAATTAAATGAGCTTTAAGGTCCCTTCCCACCCAAACCATTCCAGGATTCCATGATAAAGGACACTTAGAATCCAGTCAGAGGGATTTTTATGGAATGTGGGGATGGCAAAGGCAGGAAAGGGGAAGGGAGACCCTGCCCTGAGTGCCAAGATTCCCAGGGGATCCAGTCCCATGACAGGGATTTTCCTCAGGCTCTGGTTTTGTGGGATCCAGTCCTGTGGCGGGGATTTTCCTCAGGATCTGGTTTTGTGGGGCTTTTCCTCAGGCTCTGATTTGTGGGGATTCTCCTCAGTTTTTGGGTTTGTGGGGCTGTTCCTCACTATCTGGTTTTGTGGGGATTTTCCTCAGGCTCTGGTTTTATGGGGCTTTTCCTCAGGCTCTGGTTTTGTGGGATCCAGCCATTTTGGTAGGGATTTTCCTCAGGATCTGGCCTTGTAACAGGGATTTTCCTCAGGCTCTGGTTTTGTGGGATCCAGCCCTTTGGCAGGGATTGTCCTCAGAATCTGTCCCTTTGGCTGGGATTTTCCTGAGGCTCTGGTTTTGTGGGATCCAGCCCTTTTGGCAGGGATTTTCCTCAGGATCTGGTTTTGTGGGATCCAGCCCTGTAACAGGGATTTTCCTCACGCTCTGGTTTTGTGGGGATTTTCCTCAGGCTCTGATTTTGTGGGGCTTTTCCTCACTCTCTGATTTTGTGGGGATTTTCCTC